AATCCTATCTTCAGATATCGCTCAAACCAGCGCTGTCCGTAAGGTTAACTAGTGTAACCAGGTTGGTAATTTGCTAGGGCAGGATATTTAGGCTTTTGGGGATGGATTAGAGAGACGGGCAATGTGTTGGTTTGCTCTTTGACATAATAAGAATAGAATATTTAAATATAAAAGATATAAAAAAAAAAACATCTAGGGTAACAATGAGAACTCTCCATGAACTCTCCATGAACCCTGAGAGAACTGTGCTCTCTCCCCAACTCTATGCTTGGAAGATGGGGATATTAAAAAAGAATGTAGGATCTCTGGAGCACTCAAACCCCAAGAGTGAACAATGGGGGACTGGAAAGTATATTGCTTCTTCTCCCTCATCCAATATTCAGGGAGTGGGGGGTTTAAAAGCCAACTAAACCACAATCAATCCTAGCTCGAACCTGTAAAGTCTTCCTAGGTAAGCCATTCAAGATGTCAAGGCATCTGAAGTAAATGTTAAAGTATTTTTTCAGTTAGTTTTTTGATAGATTAGACGAATCCCCTCATGGTGTATTTGTTGCTAGTTACTTATTTTAATTAAAGGAGGTGATGAGTTTTAAAGAGTAGTTTGCTCTTGTGGGGCTTGTGAAGATTTTTGAACTTGGGACCATGGTTTCGAGCATAGTCTAGTCCTCTAGTGGGTGGGAATCCATTTTCTGTAGAGTAAAATAACATGTTAACCTTCTGGTGTTTCTGTGTTTAGGATAAGGGGATTGGGTGTCTAGTCTATTGGCTTGGGAACACTACCTGGTTTCGCTCCAATCACTAGATGATCTTAAACTCTTCCAACCAACCATTTTCTGAATAACACTTCACACAAACATAATACATCATAATAAAATGGAAAAGTAAATTCTATGATGAAAGAGTTTAGAAAAATAGCTTGTTAAGAATATTAATAATCTGTGAAAAATATTAGCTTGTCAAGAATAGTAATAGTTACAAAATGAAGAAGCGATTGATTGATGTGAGTCAAGGAGTTTACCATTTATGCAAGATGCTAACTTGTTCCAGATACACTGACAATTACTAAATACAATACAGTAACCAACTTCTAACATTAATTCTAAAGCTGCAGAACATAAACTAATTTGTAACGGGTTAAACTTTATATTTCTAAAGCAATACAGTAATTTAACCCATGGCCATACAGGGTTGTGAGGGAAGGGATTCATTTAAAACAGGAAACATGTGTAATATACATTACCAAGCAGCGGCAAGTTTAAACTAAAGACTTGCAAACCAAATGTCATTAGTACAGTTTCACTTATAAGTAATCCATTAAACACAACTGCATTTTCCATGAGAGATGCTCCAAAAATGTCTGTTTTGGGACATTTTTATTCACTAAGTTTACAAAAAAAAAAAAAGAGAACTAGAGGGGTTTTATCCATCATTTTCCAATACAAATTGGGGTAAAAAACAAACAAACCAAGACTGTATCTAAACTGGCAATTTTAAATTTTGTTTTGAAATTTAGCATGTCTGTTTACAATTCATTACAATGCAGTATTAACCAAACAGTGACTTGTGAAGTCTTGACAAATGCCAAGTAAAGATTTTCCCAGTATGATTTTAACATGAATTTTGTAAGACTGATGTGAAATCATCATAACACACTGTGAATGAATGGACCCCAAACCATTTGGAGGAGGGCAACGTGTTCCTCAGTCTAAGCCTTCTCCAAAAACTTCAACGGTTTCCAAATCTGTATCCCACGCGGATTGAAAAAAATGCAATGGAAAACAATATCCAGAACTAAAATGGGTATTGATGGTTTGGTAATCAACGTATGGCACGTTTCCAATATTTATACTTATTGATACATCACTGAATGATTCATTTTGTTTATTTACATGTTATTTATTCAGACTGTTTTTATGTTGTTTTTTTTTAATTATTATTATTTCTACTCTGACATATTTGTTATTTTATTTTCCAAAACACATTATTATGTTCAGATGGCTTGTTACACGTGTGCACTTACCTAAAAATCCACCTGTTAAAGCTACACAGAGCAGAACCAGCAGCTTGATAGATAGGAATGTACCCAGGAAAAAACCTTTCATCTTAATTTTCTTAAAAAACAAACACAAAAAGCAATATATTAATTACAGTCAGTAACAGTAAATTCATATTGGTAAAAGGATAAAATGTCTGTACGTCATCCAATATATAGAAATACAACAATGCCAGGTAACTAACTAGTAATTAGAGATATATGGATAAATAGTCACTAGAGATGTCCTCAGTTCGGAAAGTGATTTAAATAATAGCGTATGGATGAAAGCATATCAAAGTGAAAACATATTTCTACAGTCAATTAACAGTCAATCTCACATGGAATCTGCTGAAAGCGTAGCTCACCAGTGCGACCGGTTCTCAGTGATTTTCAGTAACATGTTAACGTGTCTGCTTTTATGTAGCAGCTAAAGGGAAGATTGTGTCCATTTAAAGTTTGCCAGATACCTGACACGTAAGAAATGCTCATATGAAATAACTTGGGACTCAACCAGTAATTACTATATTATTACACGTAAAATAAATATGAGAATGTACAAGGAAAACCCCTGGAGGTAAAATAAACTATGTCACACAGTACATCTTGTCTAGTGTCATGCAATGTGCAGCTAGGGAGTTCGCATGTCTCATAGTATCAACCACAAAAATATATAACCACAATATGTGCACTATGTTACACCCACTTAAAAAGTGTATCCTCCAAACAACAAAGACAAATTAGCAAACAACAAAAAATATAGAAGTGAGGTGTAAAAAGGATGATATCACCAAAAATAAGAGATTGATAGCACCTTGATATAACAGGACACACATATAGTGCAGATGGTAAGTTTCTTAGAATGCACTTACAGCATAGAGGGGAACTGAGCATGTCTCTGTGTATAACATGTCTGCAGCTGATCTGGGTGATCTGGTCTCATTTACATCACACACATCAGCTGCAGACATGTTATACACAGAGACATGCTCAGTTCCCCTCTATGCTGTAAGTGCATTCTAAGAAACTTACCATCTGCACTATATGTGTGTCTTCTATCTTTCCATCTCAAACTCTAACACACTACGCCTGAAGTCATTTGAATCTATAGACGTTCCAGCTTGGTTTTGATGGGCTGAAAATCATTTCCCATCTTGTGAGTGCAGTTTATACCTTGTAGGCTAATTGGTATCTGATGATATTACCCTGTGCCAGTTTTATTTTCTTCTAGAAATCTGGACAGTTTTATCCCTTGTTATATCAAGGTGGTATCAATCTCTTATTTGTTGGTGGTATCATCTTTTGTATACCTCACTTATATATTTTTTGTTGTTTACTAATTTGCAGCTAGCGTGCATATCTCAGAGTATCACAAAATGTACAGCTAGGGTACCTGTCTTATAGTATCATGTAATGTACAGCTAGGGCACCTGTCTTATAGTATCATGTAATGTACAGCTAGGGCACCTGTCTTATAGTATCACGTAATGTACAGCTAGGGCACCTGTCTTATAGTATCACGTAATGTACAGCTAGGGTACCTGTCTTATAGTATCATGTAATGTACAGCTAGGGTACCTGTCTTATAGTATCACGTAATGTACAGCTAGGGCACCTGTCTTATAGTATCACGTAATGTACAGCTAGGGTACCTGTCTTATAGTATCATGTAATGTACAGCTAGGGTACCTGTCTTATAGTATCATGTAATGTACAGCTAGGGCACCTGTCTTATAGTATCATGTAATGTACAGCTAGGGTACCTGTCTTATAGTATCATGTAATGTACACAGCCTAGGGCACACCTGTCTTATAGTATCACGTAATGTACAACTGGAGCTTTCATCTTATAGTATCATGTAATGTACAGCTAGGGTACCTGTCTTATAGTATCATGTAATCATGCAGCTAGGTACCTGTCTTATAGTATCATGTAATGTACAGCTAGGGTACCTGTCTTATAGTATCATGTAATGTACAGCTAGGGCACCTGTCTTATAGTATCATGTAATGTACAGCTAGGGCACCTGTCTTATAGTATCATGTAATGTACAGCTAGGGTACCTGTCTTATAGTATCATGTAATGTACAGCTAGGGTACCTGTCTTATAGTATCATGTAATGTACAGCTAGGGTACCTGTCTTATAGTATCATGTAATGTACAGCTAGGGTACCTGTCTTATAGTATCATGTAATGTACAGCTAGGGCACCTGTCTTATAGTATCACGTAATGTACAGCTAGGGTACCTGTCTTATAGTATCATGTAATGTACAGCTAGGGCACCTGTCTTATAGTATCATGTAATGTACAGCTAGGGTACCTGTCTTATAGTATCATGTAATGTACAGCTAGGGTACCTGTCTTATAGTATCATGTGTGTACAGCTAGGGTACCTGTCTTATGATATCATGTAATGTACAGCTAGAATTTACCTGTCTTATAGTATCATATGTCTTTAGCTAAGAACTTCTGTCTTATAGTATCCGCGTAATGTACAGCTAGGGCACCGCAATATTATGTATCACGTAATGTGCAGCTAGGAGTACCTGTCTTGCTTATAGTATCATGTAATGTACAGCTAGGGCACCTGTCTTATAGTATCATGTAATGTACAGCTAGGGCACCTGTCTTATAGTATCACGTAATGTACAGCTAGGGTACCTGTCTTATAGTATCATGTAATGTACAGCTAGGGTACCTGTCTTATAGTATCATGTAATGTACAGCTAGGGTACCTGTCTTATAGTATCATGTAATGTACAGCTAGGGTACCTGTCTTATAGTATCATGTAATGTACAGCTAGGGTAC